AATATAGATCCGAAACGATCCGACCTCTAGATCCACACCCATATCAGACACTCACACCCGAGTCTGAACAACTTAGGCAGCTAGAGTGCGTATTGTTTTTTTCATCAATAATCCAACTTGCATATTAATCCTTTCCAGACTCAGCTTACTTGTTCCTTCACTACCTAAATCTCCCAAATTGAAAATGGGGCAGAAGGCTTTAAACTTTTAAAATGCCAAGATTAAAGCCCTCTACCTACTTTTGTTGAAGACGTTTTCATAATTGTGGGCACATCCTTAAATCTTATTTAACCATTTGGAATATTGGGTATGGATATGAGAACCAAGGGGGAACAGATGAGCAATTAAAACAGATACTTAATACAGCACCGGAAAACATAAAATAATCTGCAGATAGAGATAATTCAAAGGTGAAAACTTGCTAAAGGGAATAGATGTCGAGTCGGGAATAAGGATTCACTAAAAGCTTACTGAATCAATAGTGGAGTGCCCAAGCTGACGCCTCGCTTCCAAATATTTTGGATTTACATGAATGCCATGAGTTGGTCGCGGTGATTCAGATGCTCTTGATGAAGTCAAGCCAGAAGATTGTTGGGGCCCGGGCTGGGAAAACTGGAGGCGGGTCTCAATTTTGCGGAGGACAGGTGCTGGGAACACAGTTGACCATGTCCCGAAGAGGTGGCGCATTGCAGGATGCATGCTAGGGTGCACTTGCCTGTATGCCTCACAGAAAACCTTGGAAATAGAAATATTAAACTAAATAACATAAAGTGGTACAACAACACCATAACAATGAGCCAAAACCTGATAATTTTACTCACCTCAGGTAAATGGGCAGAGAAATGCCTGACATAATCCCTGCCAATATTCTTTACAATACTATCCAGAAGGTATAATGAGGGTAGTTTCTGTTCTACTGGGACCTAAAAAAAGAGAACAAAATGAGAATGCAGCAAACTATGGGCAACTAGTACATAAAAATGACATGCTACAAACAATTTTTTACTGGTTCTCCTGACAGATAAAAAATAAGAAATGCAGATACTCTACTTGTAAACATAAACAAAATGAGTACACACTTCTTTGACAAATTTTCTAACAAAGTACTGGTCAGATTTAGCTTAACCTAAACAGTTATTACAGGTGATCAATAGAGGTAATGAGTGGTCTAAATGCACTTGATTACTAATCCTTAAAACTCAAACCCTTGTGAACTAGATAATGTTCAAAACGAGTAGGGAGACAGTTAAGATTTCAGCTATAATCCTTAAAACTCAAACCCCTGTGAACTAGATAATGTTCAAAACGAGTAGGGAGACAGTTAAGATTTCAGCTATAATCCTTAAAACTCAAACCCCTGTGAAGTAGATAATTTTCAAAACGAGTAGGGAGACAGTTAAGATTTCAGCTATAATCCTTAAAACTCAAACCCCTGTGAACTAGATAATGTTCAAAACGAGTAGGGAGACAGTTAAGATTTCAGCTATAATCCTTAAAACTCAAACCCCTGTGAAGTAGATAATTTTCAAAACGAGTACGAGGTCAGCTGAGTCATGACAAGATAAGATCCCGGATTTTGGAGCTGCGTCATTCAGCTCTACAAGTATCTGTCAACTGGAGCGGGTTAAAGCATCTAATTTTATTTGAAATTACGTATAGCCAAGGACTTCCATACCATAACTATTAACTAGCACATTTTCATACCAGAATTCAGTTTAGCATTCATAGGATACGTGGCAGTAAAAGTAACTGTTGCAGTAAGCGGCATTCCAAAACCCTAAAAACATAGTAGAATAAAACTCTTACCTCGAGAATGCGAGAACAAATGGCGTCAGCGATGCCTTGACCGTGTTCTCTCTGTTCGCCGGCAATTATGGTGAGGTCAGTAATGACAGGCTTAGAATTGAAAGTTAAATCGGACAAAAAGAGCTCGTAAAGCCTAACAATCTCGTCCATGGTCGGGGGCAACACGATAACATCATCATCGTCGTCGACGACCGGCATAGAAGAAGCCCTAAGTTCCTCCTCTCTCTCCTTTAAAGCCGCCCTAAATCGTTCGATTATAGAAGGAGACGGCAACGGTTTTGGAGGCGCCGCCACAACGGCGTCGTTTTGGATTGCCTTAGAGCTCGCAAAGCCGCCGGCTAAAGCCATTGAGTTAGGGTTAGGGTTTAAGCCACCGGTGGTGGAGGGGAAGGATTTGGGGTTTGGGGGGGGGGGGGTGTTAGAAGGAGAAAGAGAGAGGGAGAGGCGCTAAGTTGTGGTGGGTGCCCATTAGAGGGAATGGGAGCCCCCAGAACTGAACTGATAAATCCATGTCCTAAAAGGACCAAATTGCTGTAATAAGGAAATATATTGTGAATAAATTGCTTCCCAGTATTGTAATTGCTGAAACCCGTTTCTATGTATGCACCTTATTTTTCTTTTTTTGATCTATTTCAGAACAATACGTATTTACTGTATGTTTTTAATTTTAATATTCACAGTTTACTACTAACGATATCCACTTACAGTAATAAAATAGTACTTACTAGCATTTTCAGATCACAAAATTGAAAATTTGGATATGATATACACACATTTAATTTAAGATCATAAAATTCAAAGTTTTGATATGATATATACACATTTATTTAAGACCACAAAATCCAAAAATCTTTTTTACAATTTTAGTTTTATGTTTATTCAAACTAAAACACATAAACAAAATAGATTAAGTAATAGGTTACCCTAGTGGCAAAATGTCACAATATTCAACTATAGAAATATCATAAACTGGATAGTCATTAAAATACAATCGGAGATGAAAAGGTGAGTTCTAGAGGTAAGAACCTATCCGCACCTAAAATTTTACATCAAATCTATAATAATATGGTTGTGCATTCTCACCTCGTTTATTCATTAACCATAGTAAATTATATAGATTTGACGTAGACACCGAATATGGATAAATTTTTACCATCCAAAGACCTGCATCTAAGTTGGATCTTCTTTTTTTCATACGCTTTGCGCGTGTACCTCATATCATGAATAAAACTATTTAAAGTAAAAAATATATATGAGTTATAAAATAAAAATTATAATAAAAGTTCCTAAATATGATGAATATTGATTCTATGTTACTCACAAAAATACTTAATCCTCATATGCTTTATTGAAATTCCGGTACATGAGTTTTGTAGTATTTGTTTATTAGCCCATACAGAATAAGGTAGAATTCTCTTTTTAATAAGGTATATAATTTTCTCTTTTATGTTAGGAAATTTTAGAATTGATAATAATTTTAATCCTTCTTGAAAAGATATTTTTCTATTTTATTTAACTTAGGATTTTAGGAACTGACGAAAATTTGGTTCCTTCTTGAAAAAGTATTTTTCTCATTTATTTATGACTGGTGTTGATACCCAATTTTGTCCTCATATTTTTATAAATATCATATATGCTTTTAAAATACCATTCCTTCATCATCACCAATTTACAAGAGTCATACAAGTATTTTCTATAATTTTTTATAATTTTGAAAGCTTTAAAATTGATTTTATTGTATTTAAATTATTTGAATATGTACTAATTACCCCTTTGAATTATTTTGTGATGACTTAATCATCCAAATTTATTATATATTTCATAATATTTTACCTCATTTTCATATAATTGTATTTGTATTTTTAAGCTATTTACATAATTTTACAATAATAACCTATACGATATGCATAATTACATTTTATTACATTATTTGTGCCCAAATAGCATTTTTATATTTTTATAATGTCAAATTATTATTTTCAAGCATCTTACTACATAAATAATATTTTTATTATTTGTTAATTACTTTATATAAATTATTTTTATAATTTTTGTGTATTTAAAAACTTCGGCCCAATGTTTGAGTTAATTTCGGACCCAAAACCTAGCCCAATAACCCCAAGCCCAAACCAGACAACCCTTTTAATGAACTCGGTCATCGCCCACTTCAAACGACATGCCCCACCGGTTTAAAAATCTTGGTCGTTGATCTCCCAAGATCAACGGTCCACGATCACCCTTTATTTTTAATTACCCGCCCCAACCCTAATCCTCACATTTCACTTTGCCCAGCCGCCTCCAAAGACCCTCCTCCCCTCTCACACCAAACCCTAGCCGTTGTATCTCTAAACTTATCCAAATCTGGCTCTAAAATGGAATCAATCACTGATTCACTTACCTATTTTGTGGTACTTCGCTATTGTACATACGTCTGCGGTGTTACTTAGTTCTTGCTTTATTTTTGGCAAGAACTGCCTTTCGAAATCAGCCCTGGTTGGCTTCGATCTTCAAGGATTCAAACTGTATTTCATCTACATACACTCAAAATAAGGCTTGTGTGTGTCTTGCAAACATGTCACGTGATTTTTTTAATACATCTTGGTGATAATTAGCTTTACAGTCGTAAAAAATAAGTGTGTGGACTTCCTTCCTGAGTTAGCTAGTTCAACATATAGTTTGTTGCTTGTAATCATGTGTGAATCTTTCGTTTAGGCTTGGTGTCTGTTATATGTGATTAGGGGCTTGGACTTTGGATTCAGACTTACTGTTGGTCTATTTTATGTGATGATGGGCTTGGATGTTGGATTCAAACTTATTGTTGGTCCTATGAGTTGGGTTTTGAGTCTACTGGAGCCGTCGAAGGCCTAGAAAAATACTGGGTTATTTGTACTAGGCCTATCATGGGGCCTATTGTGATCTTATTCTATAATTATTCATATTTGATTATTTCATTCGGGTTGTAATAACGAATGATGGGAAAGTTAATAAAAAGGGGGCTGGGGTATTCTAATATTTGGTGAAATAGTAGAAAGCATGCTTATATGGTCTACGTGCTTTATGTGCTATTTTTGTTTGACTTGCTTTATTTATGCACATCAATAGAAATCATGTATGTATGATTCACGCACACACTTCACTTAAGTTGTCAAAATATGTTAACTCAAGTAATTGTCACACTGCTTCCATGTCTACTATTCAACACTTAGACAACATGTCTATAAGATGGATAGCACATGTTTGTTACTGCCCATCTAGATACCATGTCTATAAGTTTTCAATTAATCGATCAATCAATTATTTCTATTGCTTTTAACGCGCTTTTCCTTTAGATATCATGACTATAGGATTCTAATCAATTAACAGTCACTTTGTTATTATCATACTTAGACGACATGCATGTAGGGATAATTATATAAAAATATATTTCAACTGTTAGAAATCATGCCTATAGGACATTGATGTCTGCCTAAGAAGCATACTTATAAATCCGCACTAGTAATCTGGTAACTCGTATCGCTTTACTGCCTCATCGCGTAAATAATTAGAAATTATGCCTATAGGACTTGCGATGCTTTAACTTGCCTATACGCTACTTGTACAATGTTGGAAATCAGAATCGCCTATAAATTATGCCTATAGGATTTAACAATTCTAATACGTCTTAACCCTCTAAACTATGTACTGCCTAATCTGCCCGCGTACATTTGTTGTTTACGCGTGGAGGCTAACTTGGACCTTTAATTGTCTTTATGTGAAGTCCTATCTATTTTGGATGTCGCCTAATTTTATCATTTTGAGCAACCTAAGCTGAGTCTATAACTACCTAATAGTAGGTCCAAAACCTCATGGACCATAGGCATGGGACAGATAGTGCACGCATAGGATACATTTTAGAATTGAACTAAAGCACCTTTGAGTAATAACTTCAACATAGTAATTGGGTAGCAGTAGATGATAGTTTGTGCTCGCTGAATAATATGAGCAACCCCTACCTTAAGAGAGTTGCAAAGTATTATTTATATTGCACGGGGTGATCCTTTAGGCTAAAAAACTCAGGACCCTNCCTTTAAGATTTGTACTAAGCATTTATTCTTATGTGTTACAATAAGAGTTTTCAACTCCTATAACATTCTTTGCTTATTTGATCACCTAGCTTAATTACCTAATCCACATAGTTTAAAATTCGATCGGGAATCACAGTTGTGGACCTCGAAGAGTGCCCAACCCCTTCTCTTTGAGGTAATTTGAGCCCTTATCCTATTTTTGGTGGCACGGACTAGTTAAATCAGAGTTATTTGCAAATAGGTGCCCTAACGCACCTTAAAAATCGTTAGGTGACGACTCTTCTTTTTAATATCCACTTTAAAAGAGTTGTCACACGTCGAAATCTGCTTTCGCGAGATAACGGGGCGCGACAACTGGAAATTTAGAAGTTTATTTTTTACTTTTTCTTTATTTACGTTAGATATTTTAGGAATATTCAATTTTCTTTTTCAACATGTAGATCAATTATTTTACTTTACATTTCATATTGGACTATTTGAACTCCGTATATTTAGTTTCTATTTAAATATGAATTGTTAAACACTTTGGGGATAATTTGAGAAAATTAAATTACTTGTAGAAATTATATTCTCAAGCTATATAATTTTGTAGTGGTGTGAGATGTAAGTACATATGAAACTTAAGGCTATCGTTGGGTTGTCAAAAAGGAAGAGGAAAGTGGTCAAAAGTTTTTTATTCTTCTTCAAAGTTTTCGACAAAAATCAATTTTCTTCTTACGCAATGTGATTTTAGGAAAAAGATGGAAAGAAGTCCAAAAGATTAGATAATAATAAAAAAATTTCTTTCTAAATATTAAAAAATAATTAAATATTTTTTCTTAAATATTAGGAGAAAAATTAAATGACTATTTTGTCTAGCGCAACATTAATTTAAGTGTAAAAAGGATGAACGATATTTCGCTAAGTGACTTCATCCTTTTAGTGTATATATATATATATATATATATATACACTAAAATTAAAGTTGCCTCCATTACGTGTTCTTTACAATTTTGATAAAAGAATTTTAAACTTAAAGTAATATTAAATTACTGAGATATTATTTGTTATAAATATTTTAATCATAGAAGGAGTTGCCTGCTTATTACACGTTCTTCACAAAACAGTATAAATTTCTTTTTGTTGGAATTTTAAGCTTGTGTAGTTTAAAGAGGGTGAATGAGAAATGGAGGGAAAAAAATGAAATATTTGAGTTTCTCTCCTTGACAAAGGGACATTGTCCCATATTGGAGGAAGAAAAGGCTTTTGATGGGTATGTATATATA